GATAGTATACTTTCTAAGAATATTTTTCTATTATCTTTATATACAGAAATCACAAAAGTTGAATTTAGTTCTGTTGACAGCTTTTTCTCTCAACCATGAGTGGACTTTTTTCCTTCGTTTTTTTGAGTCTACTAATTTTGAGTGACCAATGAACAGCAGTATTATTAACATGTGGACACTGTAAGGCCTATTTCTCTGTCAAAATATTACTGAGGAGGAGGTGTTTAGCCCATCTAATCAGGAACTGATATAGTCACACAGATTTCAAATTCCTCTACTAGTGAACTCCTCTGCATAGACACCAGAGGGTTTTTTGTAGGTTTGTTTCTGCTTTCCTGTCAGTGTTCAACCTTTACCACAGGGATTTCCCTGGATGCTCCTGAGCTTCCTAAAGCAGAGAGTATCTGTGAATTGTTTCTAGGACCATGGCTGGGGCAGATACACACTCAACTGTCCATAGTCCAGCCTCAGTCTTAGGTAGGCTTGTAGTTGTTCTTCCTGTGGCAGCTAAAATCTGCTTTGTATTTCTGTTGATCTTGGGTGGGAGTTTCTGGCTCCTCCTTAAGTAGTAAATGACTGCTTTTTGGTACTGGTATAGGATTCTGGAGCCTAAAATGATGTTCTCTACCCCTTTCTTTTCCATATTTTCCCCAGAAGTAGTGAGTTTTTGCTTGTATCCTGTATGCAGAGGCTTTCTCTGACTCACAGGAGCCGAGCAGTTTGGCTTCTAATCTCCCTACAGAAACTTATGAAATAAGGTTTTCTTTCCTTTCCTCACTGGTGTGAGACTTCAAGAAAGATGTGAATAAATCCAAGGAGCTTTGTTCCCATCTCCCAGCTGGACAGAATGCCTCCTTCATTTTTAAACCACAGAGATAGATTTTCTAATCTTCTGCTCTGCCCTCTCTCAATATGGTGTACCCCGAGGAGCCAGAAAGAAAAGCATTTACAAGCAAGTACGAACATCCTTTGAATATGAGATGTCAGATGACAAACTAGGCCATATGTGGCCTTTAATAATTATTTTAAAATTTGGCTTTTTCCCTGCCACTTTTATGGTAGCCATGTCTTTTTCTTGTGTTGTGTCAAAGGTTAAAAAAAAAATCATATGACTCATTCCTTGGGGTTTGGGGTGAGGGGTTGTCCTGTTTTGGAATTTACATTATTTGGCTGCTATGCAAGCTCAATTCTCTGATGGACTCGAGAAGTTATGATTTTCTAGATTATCAAGTTTTCTCTTATGCTGAGAGGGAGATGTTCTCTGCACACTACAACCTAAGTAGAAGTAGAAATCCCCTTCTACTTCAATTCATCTTCCTTTTCTATGTTTGTAAAGGGATCATCCTTCTTCTAGTGACCCAAATAAAACCTTGGAGGTATATCTCACTTCTCTACATTTAATATATAATCAGATGATAAGGCCTGAATCAGATAAGACATTACTAATCTCTTTACTAGTATCCTTTTCCCATTTCTCTGATATATGCACTTATCATATCATAATCTTCCCATAACATCATTCTTTCAAATCAGCCTGGACTCTGCCTTCCTCTAATTAAACTTAGATTTACCATCAGACTGTCTTTCTACAGCACTGCTTTAACCTTTTACAGTCATGCATGTCCATTAGCAATATGATCCTATCCTGCCACCTTCCTTCAGGAGTAAGTTCTTTATTCTACCATACTGATCCAGATTCTCTTTTTGATCAATATCTGGAAATCCTATCTTTTGAGGCCTATTACAGAGGGGGCATCTTACATCAAAAAAATTCCCTGATCATACAGACTGAATCTATCTCTTCTGCAGTGCATGCTGCTTTATTTGCAGTATAAAAATAACCCTCATCTACCCTAGGCACAGTGGCACAGATATGTAATCTCAGAATTCTGGGAGACTGAAGCAGGAAGATCTCAAGTTCAAGCCCAGCATGGGCAACTTAGTGACTTAGCAAGACCTTGTGTTAAAATGAAAAATAAAAAATGGCTGGGAATGGCCATGAGTTCAAGGCCCTGAGTTCAATCCTCAGTACTGCAAAAACAAAACAAAAATGCAAACACCTCATTTGGACTGCATTAAAGAATAAATCTCTTACATCCTTTATGATATTATAAATCCTAGAAAGGCAAAGATAAGATATTATAAATTATGTTCCATCTTTCAGCTTTCCCAAATAAATACTTATCTTGCACATTAAAATAAAATGGCAAAACAGGCATGGTGGTACATGCCTGCAGTTCTAGGACTTGGGAGGCTGAACTGGGGGAACCACATGAACCTGGAGATTCAAGACAACTCTGAACAACATAGTGAGACCGTACGTCACAAACAAATAAGCAAAACAGAAAACAAAATCAGTAACATGCTACCTTCCTTCTTATACTGTATATTTTAAGCATTCTCAATAAAGGTCACTAAAAAATTCAACAGCCTGTGAAATGCTTTTCTGAAAAAGAATCACACACACTATGACTGTAATTTTTATAACATCCAAGCACTTTCAGGGAAACCAATCAGTCTTTAATTTTTTAAATTTAGGCATTATTTTTATACTTTCAGAGTTAGATTTCTTCTTCAGAGTTGGATTTATGATGATAATCCTGAACACAAACATACTGAAATCCCTCTGCTTAGTACCACATAAATACATCCCAACATAGCCACAAAATTTGCAAAGTGCCATTAGTGTTAAAAAAAAAAAAAAAAAGCCCATCTATCCTACAGTCTACAGCTTGCACCATTCCTTATTTGGTAACTGTATTCAACCATTTTGCCAAGATGGGAAACTGACACGTTTCTACTAACCCTAAAATAATTTCCATTGAACAAGAGTAAAATCAAGGACAGGCACAGGCAGAAAAAAGCAGTTCTAATATTTTATATCATATAACAGTAAAGTATATTTTTTAAAATAGCATGTAAAAATCCAAAAATAAAAAAGCCAGAGATGTGGCTCAGTGGTGCTGCGCAAGGTCCTGAGTTCAATCCCCAGTACCAAAAAAAAAAAGCCAGAGTAGCAACTATCTTTGCCAACAAGCACACTTGGTCAAGTGATAGTTGTCGGAGAAATTCTTCTGGGAACCATGATGGTACCTGACCATAACTGACTCATACAAAAGATCACAAGTCTAAAGTGGCATCTTTTTCATGCATTCTTGAAAAATGCTTTGGTTGCTTAAAAAAAAGAGGTAAATAAATAATACAGCTAATGGTTATCTTTATCAATTTAACACAACTATTAACTGTTAATCAACAATCCAATTTTTAGTAGTCATTTAAAAATGTTCAACACAGCACTGTCAGCTTTTTTCAGAGGAAAGTAAAATTATTACTAATTTACGGACCATTTTAATACTTTCAGAATAGACTTTTTGTTTTTCAGAGTTAGATTTATAATGATAATCTTGAACACAAACATACTAGAGGGTCTGGCACTGAGGATGGAACCCAGAGCTTTTTCCCCCAAGCTCTATCCCCAGCCCTTTTTAAATTCTGGTACAGGGTCTTGCTAAGTCACTAAGTTGCCTAGGCTGGGCTTGAATTTGTGATGTTCCTACCTGAGCCTCCCAGATTGTTAACGCAAAAAATGAGACAATTTAAATGTTACTTAATAGGGAATCAGTTATATGGAACAAAGTGTGTGTATGTATATGTGTATATATGTGTATATGTGTATACACATATACATTGTTGAATTTATATATATATATAAATATATATAAATTCAACAATGAACAATGAATCAACAATGTTGATACAAACATTGTGAAAATAAATTGCAAATGCGTATTTGTTCACATGGAAAGTGATCCACAACATATTGTTGGAAGAAAGCACAAGGTTATAAAAGGATATAAAAGCAAAAGGTTATATGTGTGTTTCTATACAGTATCCCTAAATGGAAATATCTGGTGTATGCTCCAGTTACCAATTATTGCCTCTGGGCTTCTAATTCAGATTTCATCGCCTGCTCTACATAAATGAAGCTGGGCCCTTTCCTTTGCCAGCTGGCACACATGTTAATGTTAGCAGTACAAGGCACTGGAGATACACTGAAGGGATTTTTTTTCCCTGGTTCCAGGGCCCTGCCTTAGTGAGGACTTGTACCAACAGCTTTCCTTAAAAGCCAAACCTCAAGTGATTTTTGTCACCTCTGCTGAGATACCTCCCTAGGAAAGTTTTCCTCAGATGCTAGAGAGTGAATTCTAACCAAGTTTCAACAGCAAACACTGTATCGGCTTCTGTGCCACCCCATGTAGCACAGCCACAGCCTTTACAACAATGTCTAGATCTCAGTCCCAAGAAGGACCTCTGCCTGAGCACTGTCTCAGACCTAGGAGTTCCTTGTATCTGTGAATTTTACAATTTTTAGGGTTCTCTTTACTTTTTACTAGCCAACCTCTACTCCAAGCCATTTATTATAATTAATAATTCCGTGCCAGGGATTTAGCTCAGTGGTGCTGCCGCCTGCATCGCAAGCGCAGGGTTCCGAGTTTGATCCCTGGTACCAAAACAAAATAAAAAAAAAAAAATTCCTTTTCCTGTTGAAATAACAATAGTTTCTCTTGATTTGACTTTTACTAATACACAGGGAAATTCTTTTCAAAGTTGTCTGAAGTTTTTATAATATACAGGGGGATGATAAACAGAAAAGGCAAGTTAATTTAATTTAGAAAAACTAAAACAAGTTCAATGCAAAATAAATATTACAATATTTTTCTTTATAGGGTAGAAATATAACTGTGAGATTAAAGTGACTGAATTCTGAAAACTACCCATTTGTGTTAAGATTATAATTATTCAGTGTTTCTTAATGCTAATTTCAACTTTATCTGACATTGTGTTCCAAGGTAATTTTAAGTGATGCAAATAAATTTAGAGTGCAATTCTTTTTTTCTCAGTCATACTGTATCTTGGCCTTTTCAAACAAGCTATCAGTCAGGAACCCTAGCATGATCACAGAGTTAGCCTTCTTTGTCTGACTGCTTAGACCCTCTTACCATGTTCAAGGATTATCAGCTGGGCTCCAGCTTGCACATTTCCAACGTCATTCTCAGCAATACACTGATAGAACCCTTCATCTGACTTCACCAGACCCAAAACTTGAAGATTATGTTCCTTCTAAGGAAGAAAAATACATGTAAAATTTTATGATTTAATTTATAAATATAAACTCAAAATCTCAAGGATTTATTCTTTTTGGGAAAGAAAAACAAGTAAAATTTTATGACCCAATTACTAATTACCTACTTACATACCTGCTAACACAATTTTATATAAAAGCATTGGCAGAATATTGACTTAACTGCCCAGAATTAATATATACCATCACAAACAATAAAGAATTTAACAAGCATGGAAAGTCTTATCTTAACTTCTGCTTGCAAAGTCATTTACACCTTTGCTTGGAAAAATATCTGGCAAGCAATATAATGAAACCATGGTGAAGTCTAAATTAGTTTAAGGCTGGGGACTTAGCTCGGTGGCACCACAATTTGATTCACGGTACCAAATAAATAAATAAGTCAGTTTATAGCACTGTTTTCTTAAGATTATCTGTAATATCAATAACTCTAATAGATTAATTACAATAAAGTGAAGTTGTAAATATATGTTTTCTAAAGAATAAAATACTGCATGAATGTCAACTATTGTTACTGGTATAATAAAAATGGTTTAAATTTTAAAAATAGTGCAGGAGCCGGGAGTGGTGGCACATGCCTGTAATCCCAGCACTCGGGAGGCTGAAGCAGAAGGATCACTGTGAGTTGGAGAGCAAACTAGGCTACATAGTGAGTTCCAGGTCAGTCTCAACTACATAGTGAGACCCTGTCTCAAAAAAACAAAAACAACAACAACAACAACAAAAATTAGTGAGGGAACATGACAAAATAAAAATGATAATTTAATCCTAACAGACTGCTTTATAATATGGATACATATAGGTTACTTTCTGTAACATGAAAATACATATTTCAAAAACAAAGAACACATACCCACTAAAAATGAATTACTTCTGGGCTGGGGATTTGGCTCAATGGTTCTGCTGCCTGCCTTACAAGCGCAAGGGCCTGAGAAGTTCCATCCCCAGTATCCCCCCCACAAAAATGATTTACTTTCTCAACACATTTATAATGAGACAGTAAGTCTTTAGCAACCATAAGTACATCTTTATGAATGTTACGTTTAGATCTTAAGGTATACCATTAATACTTATCACTAAAACTTAAGATACTAATTCTATTATTAGAATTGAGGGGTAGAGACAAGGTGTCACTGGGTAGTTCATATTAGTCTTGAACTTACTACACAGCCAAGGTTGGCCTCAAATTCATAGTGATCCTTCTGTCTCAGCCTCTCAAGTGCTGGGATTATAGGCATCTGCCACCACACCCAGCTCTATTATCAGAATGTTAGATAATATTTATTAAGTGTTTAATCTATATAAAGTGAAAATGTATGGTTGAGAATTCTTTTTTTATTGTTTTTATGAGACAGGGTCTCTATATGTATTCCAGGCTGGCCATGAACTACCTGAGTCATGGTGATCTTCCTGTGTCTGCCTCCTAAGTGCTAGGATTACACAGGAGGCAGGTGTCACTGTGCCCAATTTGAGATTTCTTAAATACATAACATTTTTTCATATACATACTTTAACAAATTTTTTAAACTGACATAAATACATAAAATTTTACATATTGATACAGTACCATATAACAAAACATTTACTTCTTTAAAGAATCTATCTTTTGTCACAATTGTCTCATACTGGGTAATCCTTACTTTGAAGGGTTTGGACATTGGCATACTTTTTTTTATTATGTTTTATAAGGTTTTTTATATAATTAATTGATAGGTTTTTCAAAAGGTTCATCTTTCCACACTTCATGGGACAGATTTCTGCTCTTTGAGTAAAGAGTTGTGAAGACAAGAACACACACCCACACACATATATCAATTATTTCCCAGAAAATGGAGAAAGCTGTGTTTCAGAGTACCAGACTCTTGCTAAACTCTTAAATTTAGTTCAACCACTAATTTGCTATGTGATTTCAACTCAAGCTACAAAAATATTTCTGGGCTCAGATTTCTTATCAGTCAATGACAAAAGTATATTCTCTGTAACCTTTACTGTAAGTTTCCATTTTTTATTCATTTGTAGAACATAAAGTAGCATACATAAGAAAACTGATCTTTTAGTGATAATATTTAAAAACATTCAAAGGTTCAAAATAAAATATCTCTTTGAAAAATACTTACTACAATCTTAAAGTAATCACTTGGAATAACCATATCCCCATTCTTGACCCACTTCACAGTTGGAGTTGGCTTCCCAGTCACTTCACATTCAAATATAATATCCATGGATTCATGAGCATATATATTAGCAGGTTGTTTCAGGAATTCAGGCTGAGCTTTAAACAGAAAGAAAATTAAAACATCAATGAAAAGAAAATAGGTAACTATTCAAATTTCAACCAATTAAGATATTAATGAAAATAAAAAGGTAGCTATTTTAACCATCACATGATTTTTACTGATTATTTAAGCTCTTGCATATTTTTACAAAAGCATGCAACAAATATATGTTAAAACTACATGTTAGGAAACAATTATTGGGGCTGGGGGTATAGCTCGGTGGCACTGTGCCTGTGTGGCAAGTTCAAGGTCCTGAGTTCAATTCCTGGTACTGTAAAAAAAAGGGGAAACAATTATCTTGCAAAATTAATTCCCTGGCATAACTAAGTTTCTCCAGTTACTTACTGAGAAATATTTACTAGATTGACTATATTGAAGAAACTGAAAATATGAATATTACAAGTTGTCCTAAGACATAATACCATTTTGAAAAAGCCATAATTAATCTGGCTGTTAACCTGTATGTATGATAGTTAATTAACTTTATAAGGATTTATAAGATAAATGAATCTGATACTGACAAAAAAGGGGTTGGAGGGGAAGGAGAAAAAGACTGACATGTATTATATAAGTGTACCAATTCCCCCACCATGAATGTAATCATTAGGTACTGCAAACATGTACTAATAAAATAAAATTTTTTAAAAGACAAAAAAGCTATAATTAAATTTTGACATAATCTTCCCTTTCAGTCAGCCTGATGAATAGTAACAAAGTAAGTATTATATTAAAGGCATTAAATACTCACACAACACATTCCTACTAGTAATATCACATGAAAATGTTTTTTAAAGTGAGAGGATCTTTGGGGAAAAGGTAAATGTATTTGAAAAGCTTTGAACACTCAAATTTCCCCCCTTCTTCTTGCCCCAAGTATGTAAATAACTAATTTACAAACAACAGATTCACAAGAATTTTGCTTAGAAGATTGAAATAATCATCTAGACTAATTTCTTTTTTAATGTTAAGAATTTCCTCTATTTCATCCTTGTCAAAGGATCCCTGCTTGAAAATTTCAAATGACAAGGAATCCCTCTATATCACAAATCAGCCAGCTCCCTTGTGGGCTAGTTTCACAGAATAACAATGATGACAGCAGCTGTATTTAAGAGTGAGCTAAAATGTGCCCTACCTGCTGGAATTTTGATGAAGATGGTGCTAAATTTGTAGCAACCTGACATCTTAACAATATGAAGTCTTCCTTTCCATCAACATAGTTTCTCTGTCCAATTGTTTAATCTTTGATTTCTTTCATCAGTGTTTCATAGATTTCAATAAACATCTTATTTATACTTTGTTAGGGATATATCTGTAAGAAATTTGGTGCTATTTTAAGTGGTACTTCATTTTTGTGCTGAAGACTGCATCCAAGGCCTTGCACATGCTAGGCAAGCTTTCTACCACTGAGCTGTATCTCAAGCCCTAAAAAAAAAATTCTAATTTTGGGGGGCCGGGGATTTAGCTTAGTGTTGTCGCCTCCTGCCTTGCAAGCTCAAGGTTCCAAGTTCAATCCCCGGTACCAAAAAAAAAAAAAAAAAAAAAATCTAATTTTTCATTGTTCAATCAGATCATCACCCCAGCAGGTGGCTTTCTACCTCTCCAACAAGGTCTGAGAGAATTTGGATTCTCACCCTCAATACCTATATTCAATTTTCTCTTTGTGTTTAACTTAGCAGCACTTACTGTTGTAACAGTTTCAAATTTTTATCTAGTAAAATATATAGCTCTTTTGCATCTTGGCATCAGCATTTCATTATTCTTATACTCCAAAGGCCTCCCTGTTGCTGTACTATATTCATTCAATATTCATTTACATTTTCTTCCAGTAGTCCTATGAAACAAGTTAGACTTACTGAAGTAACTATCCAGCTTTGTTTTCCTAAATGGCAAGCTCAGTAGTTTGAATAAGAACAACTGAACTGAAAGTTTTAACAATGAAATCCTATGCATGTTTGTGGGTTTGTTTCTTGGTACTGTTTTGTTTTGTTTTGTTTTGTTTTTTTCCATGAATCTGTCTAATCTTAGACTACAGCCACAAAATAATTAAAACTATATACCATGTTTCCTTAATTGGCAGAACAAGCATTCTTTCCTTTATTCCCTCAAAATTTTTCCAACATGTGTACTGAAGGTCTGCATCCCCCAGACAAATGCAGACTCAGCTTAGGTTATGACTTGCTTGACATACAAAGAACTTGGGCAAGTTAGGTTAATGGAAGATTCATCTGCCTCTTGTTATCTATAGCATGTACTCAGGTAAACATCCAGATCTCACCTGTACTGACTTACAACCAACTTGAGTCACAACCAGCCCTTGGGAACCAAGTGAGTTTGTAAGTCAAGAGCTCACTGTAAGAGTCTCAACTTTTTAAAAAATTGCTTTGTTAGCTTTGGATGTACACTAAAAAGATTTCTTTAAAAAAAAATAAACTTTGCTAAAAGCCATTAATGGCCTATGTTTTAAAAACTGATTTACTTTATTTGAATTGGGCAAACAATTCATTAAATTCCTTTTAATCCATGAGTTCCTCTTTTATCTTATCTTTACTTTCAATTTCTTAATAAACCGAGTCATCTGTCCTGTAGAGTCAGCTGCAGTCCATCTTTGGCCAACTGTATTAGCCATGGTAGTATTTAACAAATTCAACCTATTACAGGAGGATACCTCAGTCAACTTGTTTTTTTCAGGTCTACTTCCTAGGCAGTTCCATGTGCTTCCATTAGGAGGTTTATAAATGACTGTCTTTTGGTGATGTTAACAGCCTCTGTCTGACAATCACTGTCCACTAAGAGATACAAATTAGTAATATTCTTATTCTATCATACTTCGTGTAAAGAGACATTCCCCATTAGTTACACTCCCTCAATCCATTACTGAGATGACTCTTAATTATCTGGTTACTTCAAAGCATAGTTTTTATAAAATGGGAGGATAAATGTTGGATTCCCTTTATCTATAAATGCACACATAAAACAAGCACACACAATTTTTCACCATCTCTCTTCTTTAGATTACAAATAGTAGCATACTAATTTTTTTCTACCTTCAAAGCCTGTTCTCTGAACTAAGATAGTACTGTTTCCAAGAAACTGACATGTTCCTTGGGCCTAGGACTGAGGATCCCTCTAAGGCAGATTAAGTAATTTTGGAATACACATAGCAAAATCCTCTTTTTAAAAAACTGAATTAATGTATTTAATTTGGGTATGCACTTTTAGTAAACTGATTTTCAAAGACTACCAGACAAAAATATAAACAGTGATCATATACTTCTCTTTCATTAATTATAAAATAATGTCTTTAAAGTATTCTCTGGATTTTTAACTACTCTGTAGACAGTGTTCAAACCAATTAAACACAATTTAAGAGCAGATGCTTGTGGTTGGGAGGTTAAACTGATAACCAGAGAGTAAATGAGTCAATTACCATAAGAAAATAAGTGTTGTAATGGAAGATCATTCATTTCCTTACCAAAGACATAATTATCCTTCAAATTCTCTGACATATCCGTATCCCTTCTAACACCATCACCATTACAAGAGTAATTTTAATTGCTAAATGTAAAGCAGAACATAATACTAAAACATATTATACTTGCAAAATTCTTTTACTACAAACATTACTTAATTCTATCACCATTATATGATGCAGGAAATTACCACTCAATTAAAAAGGAAAATAATATAGGGCCAACATCAATGGTTCAAGGTTATTATGCTATGATTTGAAAGAGGCTAAGTTCAGTGCCTGTCACATGGTAAATGTTCAGGGCATGGATAATGGTTTTCCCACTACCTTTTTGTTTTCCCCCCTTGGTACCAGGGATCGAACTCAGGACCTTGCACTTGCAAGGCAGGTTGCAGCACCTCTGAGCTAAATAACCAGGGCCCTTACTATGCTATGATTTGGAAGATAGTAATTTTCACTTACATTCATTCTGAAATGTTGGAGATTCTACTGTTTGATTTTAAATTCTTAAGCACTGAAATTCTTATTAAGCTCTTTAAGTAGAAAACAAAGCAACTTTTTCCATTCATGTTAAACTGCACACATGAAGTTCTTAGGCTTCTCTGTAATTCACAATTGTTACCTAGGTATACTCTAGATATCAGTCCTCTACGAGGAGCAGCTGACAAAAATTTTTCCCATTCTGTAGGACGTCTCTTCACTCTACTGATCTTTTGCTGTATACAAGCTCTTTAGTCTAATATAATCCCATTTGTTGATTTTTTGATGTTGTTTCCTACACAACTGAGATTCTGTTCAGAAAGTCCTATCCTATTCTATGTCTTCAAGTGTTTTACCTATTTTGTCTTCCAGAAGGTTTAAAGTTTTTGTTTTAATGTTTAGATCTATGATCCATTTTGATTTTAATTTAATATATGGCGAGAGATATCTAACGTAAGAATACAACCTTTCTATTCATAGTGTAGTTCAGAATAACAGCATGAGAGACTGAGAAATACAGAACCTCTGCCTCACTCCAGATCTGCCCCATCCCAGTATCAGTATTTTAACAGGATCTCTAGTTTGATAAGCACTGCTTGGGGCACTCAGGAAGCTGAAGGAAGATGGTTTGAGATCAAACAAGGCTACACAGCCTGAACTACACAGTGAGACCTCTTTTAGTCAGTTATTCTCAGAATTTAGATAGCATTTAATATATTTAGCTTTCAGATAAATTGAGGGTAAGCATGCTATACTGAGTTGAGATATTCTTATTAAGACCTGATGGGATGAGATCCCATAACTGCATAAAGCAGGCTCAATTGAAAGTACAATCAATCAACACTCAACAGTAGGGAGTGACAGCAGATATGGGAAGACACTTAAAACCAGAAAGAAGCCTGCCCCAGACAGTACTGTTCACTAAAATAAAATCACTCCATTGCCCATTTTGGAGCTTTTGAATTTAATTTTTAGTAAAAAGGTTTGGAGGGGGCAGATTTTCAAGTTCATAAAACTGTTCCACTTCTACTATTCCTAACTCTACAC